GTCCATCCTGCCCCTCTGTTATCGAAAGGAGGATCATCCGTATATGTTATTTTTGACAGAACAATGAAAAAATTTACTAAAAAAAAGGGTTTTCCTTGGGGGTATATCTCCGCTGCCTTCTGAACTCTGCTTGCTTCAACTCACTTCACTTACAAAGCGCTTTCCCAACGATCCTGCCCCCGCACTCCTCAGCAGAATGGAGTTGCCGAGCGGAAACATCGCCATATACATATATTGGAGACAACTTGCTCTCTCTTGCTCTCAGCTTCAGCCCAAAAAAACTAGGGACAGAAGCAGTTTTGACTGCCGTATCTTTTTTGAACCGAATACCTTCCTCTGTCATCTCTGGTCTGTCTCTTTTTGAAAGAAGATTGTCTACCCCGCCTGACTATGAAGAGCTTCGAGGGTAGGCTGCAGCTTCGTCTAGTCTAGAGCCGGGCGCCGTGTAGGAAGACTCGCCCTAGCCACTATAGCGACCCCACCCCCAACTCTAGCTGAGAAGCACCCTCCATCCACTTCCCCCTTTCCGTGTGCCCAAAAGCCCGCCCGCCCGGTTTATGAGCCCCTTTCCGATTCCCTCACCCAATCTCATGAGAAGCAAGCCCAGCAGGCCCAGCCTTAACCTGTCCCCAGACAGCCAGCCCTCACCAGGCTGCTGGAATTGCTAAATGCTCCGCCACGAAGCAAGCTCTCCCGATCCCGAAGACGACAGATGCGGAAGTGGCTAAAGAAGTCGGAGGAAGAAAGTTGTTGGGCAATTGTATGCGCGAGGGTACATTATAAGTATTCTGAGAATTGGCAACATTGACAGAAAGGGGAAGAAAAGGGGGTAGGAATAAACTTTTTTAGGTGTAGCTATACTAAAGTAAGTAGTCGGCCTAACCTTCGGTTCCCGTAACCAAGTTTTTCTTTCTCACTCCTTATGTTATGTACTTTTTCTTACTTAATCCATACTTTTTTACCTTTTCTGAAGTGTGGGGCAAAGGGTGCCCTCTACTTATACTTCTAACTAAAGGCGAACTGCAGGCATTGCAAGCAAACAAAGCGCCCCCGCCCGTTTGAGTCGCGAAGGGGCCGCTTGCTTAAAAAATTTATTTTATATAAAATAATAGATATATAATTATATAATAGATATATAATTATATAATTATATCTATAAACTAAGAAAATCCGTTTTTTTTATCCAATTGTTCATTCCCGGGAAGAGGAAGAAGCAGATAGAGCAAAGGCCTCCTCTTTCCTTCCGTCCGCTCTTCCCGAAGTGGGCGAATTGCATGTAGAGATCCGCAGGGGCTTATAGTTTAATTGGTTGAAACGTACCGCTCATAACGGTTATATTGTAGGTTCGAGCCCTACTAAGCCTACCACCCCCTTCTCTGCACCCGATACAAGGCAGTCGAAGTCCTCGCCACCCTGCAGATCTCAATCTAGCGACGGCACCTGGAACCGCACAGCTTCCGCTGCCCTTCGGGCACGCCTCCTACGCTCTTGCGGCATGCCCCCTTCGGGCAATACGGCTTTCGTGAGTAATACGCGAAGCAGCTGAGCGATAGCTCTCTTCGATCGCTATATTCTTGCGATAGCGAAGGCGTAGTTCATCCTCTAAGAGAGAGTAGATGCGAAGATTCGGATCGAAGATCTTCGCTTGGGCCGTCTCGCGAAGATCGGCACTCGAAGGCTTGAGGAGCAGCCCGCTAAAAGGGAAGCCGTGGAGACGGCGGACTCGCCAGTCAGGCACACCGTGAAGCTGACTACAGCAGACCGGGAGGTTACAATTCCAGTTTTCCTGTTTCAATTTCCGGGACTGAATGTAGGAAGTGCAGACGGTGGATCGGGTGTGAACATTCAACCAAAGGCGTCTTGGGTATCGGCAATAGCTAAGCATTGTGGCCATCACAGTTCAAGCTACATATGGCTGGCGTACAACCTACGGGCTTCTTAGCCAAAAGAAAAACAACAAAAAAGGATGCCCGGTTTGGTACCTTTAGTCTAAGATTAGACAAAGAGCAAGGAGGATATGAAGCACTGCCGGGTAGACCATGGCTCCAACCGGGGTGGTTCATGACTGGGCTAATAAAAAGCAGTCTCAAGCAGGGAAACGCGGGATGGAAGGCGGAAAAGGCTTGGCTTTGTTTCACAGAAAAAGGACTAAGGAAATTTAGTTTCCGTAGTGGCGATGCTGGCGTCAGTTGACCTGGTTGAAAAATATAGAATATATAAGGGTGATTCCGCTAGCCAAATCGCACTAATGCGATTCATTCGCCCTACTATCCTACGGAGCAATTAAAACTCTTAGTAAGACTGGGCTCGGGCGACTCGTTCTATTCTCTCTGAGGTCGGGTAGGTGAAGCGTCTAGCTTAGGGGGGCGCGTCGAATCGCTGAAAGGCCTTGGTGAGTCTCCAATTTTGTAATCTGAAGATAGAAAACCAAAATTTTTCCAAACTTCACTTCAATAGTCTCGTATCCACGCTGCCCCGACTCCAAACTCGATGTTTGTTAACTAAGCAGGGCATTCCCAAACTCTTTTTTATCAAACAAACTCCTTTCTCGTTCCGCCTTTACCGGGCCGTTTTCATTATGTGTTCTTTGCAGTGTCTAGGGAGCTTAGGAGTGAGTTAAGCCAATGCGTACAAATAGACAGACCGGGTCATCCTTTTATGTTGAGGCCGGTGCAAGTCTGTCTATGATTCAGAGTATAGGTGGTGTTGAAGCTGGCTTATTCATGCTAGTCATCTTAGAGCTATGAGTCAGAACAATGTTCACCAACTCTTTTATAGTAATCTTGTTCATATATCGAAAAAGCTTTTGAATATGAGTTTAAATTGTTATAAAAAAGTGTTTTGTTGTCTCCTCCCCAAGGTAGCATTGCCGAGCGGGCGATCCCTGTCTTGTTTATGCAGCTAGCTTTTCTCCGTGGTACTCCAATTCTATTTGTGAGAGCTCGGCTACTTTTTTAAAAGGTGGTTACCTTAATTCTCAATAAAAATGCCTACCTATAAAGCGCTGAGTTGAAGAGGGAACAAGTCCCAAGATGATAAGTGGGGAAAAAGTAAAATTTTAATCTCTTCAAAGCTGAGCTTTTCGGTTCGCTCCCCCTATGTGGTCGGCCTTCTTACCAGTCTGCCCCCTTTCTCTTGATGGAATATAAACCCGAGCTCCAGCTTAGCTTGCGTTCTTCACCGGCGCTCGCCGGATGTATAACTCATCCCGCTCCAAAGGTAACGAGTCTTCTGTGTGTTAGAATCTTTACGGGAATGAATCGCATATGTTGGTTGAGAATTGCTCGGGAATTCATTGATAGTTATTTTGCCAGGTTCTAGGGTTGGGCTACTTTTCTTTTTTGTCGATCGAGCCGCTTTCCCTCATTCCACTCGTCCAGCCTTCTTCACGAACTTGTACAATAGACGCCACAAAGATAGCCAACTCTATTATCGAAGAAATAAGGAAACGGGCGACGGTTTGGCACCAGATATCCGGGGGTGTAGAAAGAGCAGCTGTGAGAAGCGGAAAAACCATCAAAAAACGACGATTGTTCGTGAAGGTTTCCACAGAAAGACCCCTTAGTTCTGGCAAACGGATCACAATTACAGGTACCTGGGAGCATACCGATGGAATGAACGAAATACGAACAGTTAACATAATATGGTCATAGATCTTAGGTTGTAACTTGATCATGAGCGAATTTGTTGATGTTGCACCCACGAAGTATGGAAAGTGCCAAACATTGGGAACTACCCGGGGAGGAGTTAGGAACAGGAACAAGGAGAAGCGAGAACCACTTAAATAGAGGAATCGATTGTATTTCGTCCTTTGTTCTCCATAGCAACTGGGGATCAAAAAGCACCAAATTTGATGACTTATTAAGGGAAAGACGAAATAAGAGCATGCTATTGAAGACGTTGCAACATATGTCGGGGAGGCCTCCGTTGATTGTGTACAAACAAAATACGAGTCCAAGGGCAGGGTAAGAAAGGGTTTAGCTAATGGAGATATTAACTCTTCCGGAAACCAGTAACGCGTAAACCATGTCAAACCAAGACCGATCAATATCCGAACGGAACGGATTCGAACTTCTCCTAGAATAGTTTCCGGTGCGAAATTAAATTCATAGGATATATATATGAGTAATTCAAAGGAAAAATAGAAATATTTGATAGGATCTGTTTCGGAAACGTAGAATGTAAGAAAAAAAAATGTTATGACTCCCCTACCAAATCAGTGAACTAGGTTTTGCTATTCCTTCGCGGAGATTTGCTGCTTAGCGCGGGAGCCGCTCGATTTGTCTCAAAAGAGACTCGCGCCCCTTCTGAAGTTCACGAATCCGCTCTTGTAATCGATGAACCTCAGCATGCTCCTGGTTACGCCGACGCTTAGCCAATTGGTCGTTTCGGTGTTGTTCCAATAACTGAGAAAAAGCATCGGCTTTTGATTCCATAACGCTGGAGTAGGAAGGCGATTCGTGCCGGTCCTTACAAAGGCTTTCAAAAATCTCGGAAAGCGCTTTCTGGTCGAACTCCACGCTCTCGAGAGCTACGCGAAGTAGCAAATCCAGATCCTCCGCTGGAATAAACAAAAGGGGGTCCTCCCGCCCGAAAAAAATGGTTTTGAATAGAGAAATCACCATTTCCGGGGTGGATACGGAGAATTCTAGCCGCATAAACGACTGGAAAGCGGAATCCTGCTCAGCAGGTGGACTACTGAGCAGCGTGGTATTGACACATTCGGGGTCTTGGTAAGGAAGATTCAAATAAAAATCTAGTAGCTCCCGTTCAGTAGGAAGAATTTTAAAAGTTCCAATAAAGGGTAAAAACCCACTGAAAAAAAAAGTAAAAAGAGAAAACGGGTCGCCCGTAATAAGAAGAAAAAGAAGAGAGACTTGTTCTTGCTCTCCCAATTCAGGAAGACGGAAGTCGCCGGTTGGGCTGGTCCAACCAAGAAAGGCATGGGGCATTGCTTGTTCTGTTAGGTTCTTAGTAGAAGTCGTCTACCTTTTCTTCTTTTACTTCACGGTTTCCTTGATAGCTGGAAGTTCTCCAAAAGTATGAAAAGCTGGAGGACTTTGTACCATCCATTCCAGTGTGGTTGAATTCTGTTCAACAGCCCAAGGACTTGGAGCGCATCTTTTGTTATTTCCACTGCTTGAAGTGATTGTTACGACCACGAAGAAACGACGAATCCCAACTACGGATATGTAAGAGCCAAAACTGCTAATGGCATTCCACCCAGCGTAAGCATCCGGATAATCTGGAATGCGACGTGGCATACCCGAAAGGCCTAAGAAATGCATTGGAAAGAAGGTCAGATTAACCCCGAAAAAAGTGATCCAAAAATGTATTTGCCCTAAAGTTTCAGGGTATGTCCGACCAAAGATTTTACCCACCCAATAGTGAAATCCTGCAAATAAAGCAAAAACGGCTCCCATAGAAAGTACATAATGGAAATGTGCAACCACATAATAAGTATCATGTAGAGCAATGTCTAGCCCAGAATTTGCCAGGACTATTCCAGTGAGTCCTCCTATGGTGAACAAAAAGATGAACCCTACAGCAAATAACATGGGTGTTTTGTATTGTATCGAGCCCCCCCACATGGTAGCGATCCAACTAAAGATTTTTATTCCAGTGGGGACGGCTATGATCATGGTAGCTGCGGTAAAGTAGGCACGGGTATCAACGTCTAAGCCCACAGTAAACATATGATGAGCCCAAACAAGAAATCCAAGAACACCTGTACTGATCATGGCATAAACCATGCCTAGATACCCGAAGACCGGTTTTCCCGAAAAAGTCGAAACGATATGACTTATGATACCGGATCCAGGCAGAATGGGAATATACACTTCTGGATGACCAAAGAACCGAAAGAGATGCTGGTATAATATGGGGTCTCCCCCTCCAGCGGGATCAGAAAAGGTTGTATTAAAGTTTCGATCGGTTAATAACATGGTAATTGCCCCCGCCAGTACCGGAAGTGATAATAAAAGTAGGAATGCTGTCACTAGAACGGACCACACAAATAGGGGTGATCTATGCATAGTCATTCCAGGTCCACGCATGTTGGAGATAGTTGTTATAAAATTGATAGAACCTAAAATGGATGAAACACCAGATAGATGAAGACTAGAAATTGCTAAATCAACAGCTCCTCCAGAATGGCTGGTAATACCACTTAAGGGCGGATAGACCGTCCACCCAGTGCCGCTACCCACTTCTACTAAGGCTGAGCTTAATAGGAGCAAGAGACTAGGTGGCAACAACCAGAATGAAATATTATTTAATCGTGGAAATGCCATGTCAGGTGCACCTATCAGAATCGGAACAGACCAATTACCAGATCCGCCTATCATCGCCGGCATAACCATAAAAAAGATCATTAAAAAAGCGTGAGCCGTTATTAAAACATTATAAAGTTGATGATTACCACCAAGAATTTGATCGCCGGGTCGTGCTAATTCCATACGAATCAGTACTGAGAAGCATGTGCCCATCACTCCAGCAATAGCACCGAAGATGAAATATAGAGTCCCTATATCCTTGTGGTTAGTGGAGAACAGCCATCGTGTCGTAAAATTGAGATTATTTCTTTCTTTCCTTGTCAGAGAGGGGCCGGAGCGGGGCTTTTTTATTGAAATGGGAAGGCCGGTTTAGTTTCCAAGGAAATACCGGAGGAACTCTCTATACACGGCGGAGAGATTCCCGTTTTGCTGGGCATCTTGGATCCAGTACCGCAGCATAGCTTCCACCAATCCTTTATCAAAAGGGGACTGGGGCTCATTCAGATTTAAACGACTCATAAAGTCGTTTATAAATGAAAGAGCTTCGGTCCTTATGGCACCCTCGCGAAAGGGCGAGTCTGCCAATATTTGAGCGAGCCGCTCAGTTGTTTCGCTCAAAAACAAATTGACGAGTTGCTCTAAGAGATTCGCCTTAAACTCTAACAGGCGAAGATCAAAGAGCTCATTGCTTAGGACATTACGGTAGTGTCCAATGGTCAGGGTGTCATCGAGAAACCCTCTGACTAAGGCTTCGTACTCGCCAAAGTTCATTTGCGGTGGCAAGCCGTCAATCAACCGGTTCTCTAGAAGTCGTATCCGAGCAAAGAGTTCCAATTCCGTCTCTTGGTTGAGTATACGAAATTGATCGACAACGTCGAGAGGTACTACATTATTGTTAGGTTCTTGATCAATAGGATTGAAAGGGGGATCATTGATAGGTATATTATGAACTGAATTGGAATCGGCGATTGAGCCAGAGTTCACGGCCAAAGAGTCCGAAAAAAAATGCATAAGATCGATGTCAGCAAAAGGTGCGTTTACCAAAAGCCAATTCCAAAAAAGCAAATAAAAGTAAGCGAACCCAAGCCTAACGAGTGGTCTACCTAAGAATAACATGATCATAGAAAATGTGAAATATTTGATAGGATCCATTTCGGAAAAGATTCACTTGTAGTTCCGCTTCTTGCTCTAACAGAAAGACTTGTCGGAAATCTGGTTGGTCCAGAAAAACATGGGACTTTTGGGCGTATTTCATACGCTATTTTGATTTCATTATTTTTTTCATCCACCTATACCTACAGCATTCTATTTGACTGTGGCAACCTTTCTATTATGAGGCATAAAACTACTTACTTAAGATATGGGGTTCTTACCAATTCTTTATTAAATAAAGCTGTATATGTAAATCTAAATCTTTCCGCTTGCGTCTCCTTCTCCGTCTTGATATACATCACATTTCGCACCTTATGATTAGTACTTGCTTAACGGGACTTTCTTCCTTATCGCACGAAAGGCCTATTTAACTGCAGAAGCTGGAAAAAACATGGATCGAGTCGGGTAAGCTATTGAATTGGATTGGAGTTTTCGAGTTAAAGCTATGACGAATCCCATGTGTTAAGCATAAGCATCCCGCGGTGCTTGCAATGCAAGAGAAAACCAAGGGCAGCGTGCGCAGCTTATTCCATTCAAAGGTGTGCAAATGCAGGATTTTATAGATATCCGCATAGTGATAGGACTTATTTTCGCATTTTTCGGTACCCTCTGCCGCCTATGCATACAAGAACCCCCGGATGGCGTGCCGATAATCCATTATGGTTGAGAGTTCAAAGCGAACCTTGGGCCATTACCGATCCCTATCACATTCGAATCAAAAACAATGCGGGAGAAACCAAGGGCTTGCTGTATACTTTTGCGCCTTGGATTCCCCATTCTACTAGTAGGGAGCAATTGCCATTCCAAGTTCCTGTCGTAGGAGCCAAGTTGTTACGCTCGCCTGATCGAAAGCCGGAGTTGGCCGATGTAACTAGAAAGACCTCTAGAATAAAGTCTTTTAATCTTTCAGATGCGTTAATTTATTCGTACAGGATGGATTTGCGCTTTCCTTTTTGGATTAGATAGAGGAATTTAGATTCTTATCTTGTCTATGATATTTTCTTATCTGATTAGAAGCTAATCATAAATTGTATGGGACCAAAAGTAAAGATATGAAAGTAGATATCGTCGTTTTTCCCTTTAACACTATCTTCATATCTAATCAAAATAGGAATATAAATTGTACGAAATCATAAGAACGGGGATCCCTATCCGAAGAGAAGGGCATGGATTGATCGATTTGGAAACGAAAAGAAATTGGCTCTTCGGCCGGCCTTATTTCTCTTTCCTTTCTCCGCGTAGACAAGGGGATTCTCTTTTTCTGCCTTCGCCATCTATATAGACAACTAGACAACCGAGGCTACGTCTTTTTCGATCCGGGGAGCTTTCTTCGCCCTTAGTCGCAGGGGATTCTCTGCTTTTTAGGAAGTTCTGCCGTTGACCTTATCTTGTTGCAGATACATATAAAAAGACCCAAAAGGCTTTTTCGCCAGAAGAACACTTACTTATCGGATTGAGATCAGTCTTAAAGTAATAAATGAATATCTAGCCGCGAATCCAAACAGCTAAGGGAAATTCTATACTCAGAAGGCTTGAAATCGGGTCTCCATTTATGCATCATGGCCAGCAATGAACCAGGGTTACTTATTGGATTGCCCCATTAACTTCGGTATAACCGAAGTTGCATCAACTCGGCTCAACAAGAAGCTCGGAACAGCACAAAGGGAAGTAAACCTCACAGCACTTTCAGATAGGCACGGCAGCCGTCCTTCTCTATCTTTCCATGCAACTCAAGTCACAAGACATAGCACCTTCCGTTCACGGCCATCGGATACTACTTACTCAACGGGGGGCGGCTTGGATAAGCCTTTGAAGTCTAGTTTGAAGATCCGTGGTAAATGGATTCGTTTGGAGTATGAGAGCCTACCCCAGGTTTGTTTTCGTTGTGGGATAATTGGTCATGATCAAATTCAATGTGTGGCTGGTCTGGGTTCGGTTGTTTCTAAGGTTGTGGAAGAGGGCAATGGTAACGTGAGAGTTAATTGCACGACAATGGGTTCTGATACCACTGGGAGCTTAGATGTTGGAATGAATCAGAGTGTAAACTCTGCTTCTGAATCTGTCAGGTTGAATGATTCCATTAGGACAAATAAAGATAAAGCAGTTGAGTCTTCTGATGATGGGAACTCTTCCCTGGGACCTTGGAATTTGGTTACTACTAGAAGGGCTCGTAAAAACACTAAAATTCCTGGAAGTAATGATGCTGGAATGCGCACAAGTGGATCACGTTTTGGCCTTCTTGCGAATGAGAATGTGGATGATGTAGAAGAGTAATTTTCTGAGTTGCATAAAAGACCAATCTTTGGAGATATCCCAGGAGTGACTCGTCCGATGCCTACCAAGGCTAGTGAAGCTACCAAGGGCGAGGCTAAGGTGATGAAAAACGCGAGTCTAAAGAAACCTGTTGCTAAACCTCCTCGTATTCATCCCAAGGACATCTCTAACAACAATTCAGGACAGGGTCGCAAGGTTGCTAACCTGGGGACTGATTCGGGTCGGCTTTTGAATGTGGTAGTTTTATTAAGATTAACGGATCTGTTATTTTTAACATTATAATAACTCGACCCGCTCGAAGAGGATCAAAACAATCTTAATGAAAAACCAGTAACAGACCTCAAATAAGTTTAAGAACCCAATGGATCAGGAGGTAGAGGTATTCCCATGTCTGATTTTAGCCGATTTGGTGCATCAAGTCGACCTTACTATTTTCCCTTTTTTACTAAGATCGGAGGTGGAAGCGAAGCTGCTCGGATTCGATAGACAATGCCTTTTGACGATGGGATTTGTCTACTTTGTTTTTTCCCTTGCATCTTTGTTACTCTTACTTTTTTGCTACTACGAGGGACTTGCTGTTGAATTTTTTAATAGCCGCCAGGGCAGAACGAAGTGCCGAGAAGTTTGGGATATGTTTGGCCTGTCTTTCATCCACGATACAGTACATTTTCTTTGGCCGCTCTTCTAACAGCCAGCTATCACAAGGCAGCCATTCATTCAAACAAGAACCAACTACCTTGTTGCAGCATACATGCCAGTGGTGTATTACGATCCGCGGTTTTTCCTCTTTCTCTACCTACATTTATATATGAAAATATCACCCGAACAAAAAGATGCCACACTAAGAAAGCAATCCAATCAGGAACAAGGTAGTTAGGGGCATGCGGACTAACTGCTCTGACATTCCTGTTTTTTTGAAATGAATCTTCGGACCCTCTGAAACAGATGGGCCCCCTTCTCCCAGACTGGGACTCCTCTTTACCGCATTTCTTCCTTCTGCAAGAGCTACTGCAAGAGTAATGTTCACTGCTCCTGCACCTCCAACTCCAACAGGAACTTCCGCATCTCTATTCGCATTTTCCTCATATGTAGTCTCTACGCGCTTTTTGACCGCATCTGAAACGACAACAAGTGTGTGCATTTCCCTATCAAAGCCCTTGAATTTTAGGCACGAAGGGCGTTCTGAGGCTGAATCATGTGGATTCACCAGGCACCCATATATTAATTTGTTGAAAACAGCTCCTTCGCCTATTTGTATTTCTACAATCATGCTTACCAATATGCAACTGACTGAACAGTACAGGCAGGACGGCTTTGCTTAAGACCGGAATGTTACCCCCGCTCGAACTCAAGAACTAAACTCAAGTCATTGATCATTTCCGCTCATGCTTGCTTCCGTTGCCTATCTAAAAGAAGAAAAGATGCACGAGCCACTCTTTCTCTTATATACGCTACGCTATTTGAAGATAGTGATTTGAATGCCTATCCCCTGCCTATGCGCTTGCCTTTACTACCTTGAAGTGGATCTCCTATCTATATTCGACAGCTTGAAGAGGGAAGAAGAAGTAGAGCGAATGCTCGTTCTGTTGGAACTCTCGATCTGATCTTGAAAGAGGGGAAGGGAGATCGATCTCAATCTCTCGAATCCTTCTCTCCTTCCCAACGCTATCTGTCCAAGGGGAAAAGGCTTGCAAACAGTGCAAAGGGTACCAAGCAATCTCGCAAGCTTCAGTTTTCCAGTTCAGAATCCGATGTGAGGAAAAGAATCCTAGGTCAAGGCAGTAGCA